GGCAGTTGACCAAGTGGGACGGAGGGGAACTTTCGTGTCTGGTGAGTTACGTCACGCAGTGTGCAGTTCGGATGACGATGTTCTATTGGTGTGGTAGGAAAACGACGACGGTTACGTCTGCAGGAGTTGGCGCGGAATATTAGAAATTCGTTAGAAGGCGGATGCTTGACTACTAAGGAGGAAGAGGACGGGTTGGCTGAGGACTTTGCGAAGGACTTGGGTATCTAGTTGAGATAATTGTTTGAGTTTATTTTGACACCTGTGGGATTTGAACCTGCGTGGCCAAGGTACTGTCTCCATCTCCTTAACTACTCGGCCATGCGAGCTTGTGAGTCGATGTCAGAATATGTGGTCGTTACCGGAGGCGCTTCTCTATGCCTCTTAGTGTGTTCTCAGACTTAAACACGTTCATGCCATGTCAACAGTCTCGGCATCTATTGGACTAGGCCGACTGAGACCACTCATCCGTCCAGGAGCGGTGCGGCTGATGTCGACATCAATCAGGGAGGGTAACAACGATATTTTATACCACTCTCCATCGAAACACTGAGATTTTATAGGACGTCCCCTTATCATGAGTAGTTGCTAATTTTAGCTTTAGCCCAGTCGAACCTCAGTGATAGAAAACGGCTGATAACTCCACCAGTCAATTTCCGGAGCCGAATTCGCCTAACACTCGTTTTTCTCATATCAGCTGCCTCATTTTTCGCCTTGTTTCCTCAGCTTACCTCCACACTGTGAAGGAGGCGCCGCGGCCCAACATCCCCCCACGAACGTTCCATCTTGTTGGCCTCATGCAGGACAGGCTCTTCGGGAACGCCTCAGCCCAAGCAGCTGCGGAGGCGGTGAGATAACCCGACTTGTGAATTTTAAAGAAGAATGCCATCAGATACGGACGTTGCATCCTCGGCAAGTCATGCTGGAGATGGACCAGGCTCGATACAAGAACGCCTTAGAGCACATCAGCACTGGCATGCATCTACAGCAGCCCAATCGAGTCGACATAGTTAGCACTGTGAGTACCGGAGAGTCGCTATGTACTGTTATATATTCCACCCCCACTATTTCGTACCGAATTGAATGATGATGAACTGATAGTGACAGGTGCATGGAGGGCTGATGCTGAGAGAACTGAAGGCGTCTATCGAAGCAGCCAAGGAAATCAACGCCGCTATATATCTCATTGATCGACCGTAGGGCGGAGTTGTTGTTGTTGTGCACTATTTCGTCCGGAAGGTTCACAATAACGAAGAATAGAGTTGCCCAGAAGCTGCTCAATCCGGTGACCTTCGGCAACTTTCTGAAGTATGGCAATCGGTCTTTGGTGTTTCGGAAGGACAAAGCTAATAGTGAGGACGTGAGGGAGTTGGACTCGTTCCTAAAGCGATACTGTCCAGGGATCCACAAGGTAAGCTCTTGGGAAATGTCGAAGTCAGAATGGGAATAATTTAGGTTCTCATTGACGAGAGAAACCAATACATGGCGCATCAAATCATATGGAACTCTCAGCCGGGTGAAACAGTGGTCGTCATCTGTAGCGCCATGCATGTACCAGGGCTTGCAAGCCTACTCCAGAAAAAGCTGGCAGATCCCTCAGTGAATGTGAGAGAGTTCTGGTGTCGATTCCAAGTAGATTCAAGTTCTATGGAGAGTTTTTTTGTAAGGTTGCTGCTCCAGAAGGACTAGCGGATCTCACCAAGAAGTCTCTACCAGTGGTCCCCTTCTTGTTCCTGTTCTATCTAGTGTTGCCGGGGTACATACTGTATCTCGTGAGTGCTGGAGGAATAGCGATGGTGAGCGAGCGTCTGATGGTCGCAGCTGTGATGTCGTTGCCTGCCAGATATCGCAGAAAACAAAGGGTGTGCTTGGGATTGAGTCGAAAGAGGGAGAGGTACCAGTCGTGAGACCAGCAGTCAAAAAACTGGAGTCCAGCTAGTTTCTGAATCATAAAAAAGTTCCGCGTTTTCAGTGGTGAGGTTATGCAGTTCTCGTGTGGGCACCACCCGGGGACAGGGGCTTCATACGACTGTGTCAACCTGGGGTGAACATCTCGGCACGGGGCATGACCAACATGTGGGTATACGAATAGGATACATCCGATACAGCTCATTGCCTATGATGGACATGATAGTCCTCAGTATCCTCGGAAAGCTCGCGACCCGGTGTTGTTCGCATCGGTTTCACCGAGATTTAAACCAGAGTTGCTGAGTGGAATGCCATTCAGCTTCGGAAGTGGTAGCCGCTACACCATCGAATCAGAGAGATGTCATGAAGGTCATTTTGGTCGTTTATTTTCTTCTGTCATTTCAGCGTTATGTGTCCTTCTGTATAGAGCCGAATCATACACTATTGGGT